TTGCTGAATAAGAACAACACTTGAAAAGGACCGCAATGTGGGTCGAAACGTAGTGTGTACTTATTTTCAATAAATGAATAGCCAGTTTTTGGTCGAATTAAATTGCATCTTATTATTTGTGAAAATTTTATCACTGGCGATCGACAATTAATTGTGAAGAAGATTAATTGATATTACAAACGTTTCCGAGCGATCTACTCAAATTCAGCGCGTTCTTTACTCGCGTGACTCATTTGCGTATCTCTCTGGCAGTGCTATTCGACGTAGCCGATCTATGAAAACGCTCTCCAGAGGGTTAACGCCAGCGCGGCGCTCTGAAAGAGACCGGAAATACCGGTGATTCTCGCGATCAGCGAGTCGATCCCTTGAAAGCGCGTGATATCACGAAAAGAGCGAGCACACACAGTCGAAAGGGAGGAAAGGGAAGGAAAAAAACGAGATGGGTGAAAAAGGAAGGCGCAGAAGCTTGTGCTGTCGCCGAGTTTCGCGCGTAAGCTTTTTCCTTCTCTTTCTCTCGTCAACTTCAATATCAATATTCTAAAAACATCCTTTGTCGTATCGAGACAAAAAGATGGCTCATAATAGATGTGCGTAACATGTCATTACACACAGACATTTTGCTTTTGCAATGCATGAATGAAAATTTATTGCTCGCGAAAGATTATTGACCGTGACGTTTCGCTATATGAAACGTACCTCTGTAAAAATATTAACCCGCCTGTTTTATTTTTAATTCTTTATTAGGAAACCTTTTTTCTTTTTCTAATTACTATATGCGTAATGATATTTTAGTACGGCAAATGTAATTGTCAAATATGTAATATTAAAAATTGTTTCCATTTGGTAGAAGATAATAGTGTACAAGCCCAATATAATTGTCAAAATTTTTGTGATTTTCACAGGCACTCTCGCGGATTCGATATCAATATTCTAAAAACGCCCTTTGTTGTATCCGGGAAAGAATTCGCATCGCAAATAACACGAGATGCTTTTTGACTTCAGCTACGCGGTGTAATCATGCTTGGCAGCTCCCTTGCTCGCGTTACGGCGCCATATGCTGCACTAACCACTGCTGTACTTATCATTCACGTATATGCCACATGAGTATCGGGAAAATCCACTCGCAGCACTCTCATTATATGACCGTTGTCAGCGAAATGTTCCCTTCATAGGAAATAGCGTGTTTTAAACCGATACTGATACTGCAATATTTCAAGAATAATATCAATCAATCTATGTTTTTTTTTTTCAATTGAATTTACAATGATTTATTTGCGAATTATCTTTAATTAACAAAATCTTGGCAAAATGCGTGTATCAATATTTTAAAGTGACACTTTGGAAAAATTAAACTTTATCGATTATTTAGCGATACAATCAATATTTTCAATATTTTAATGAACATTACGATATATGTAAAATTATACTCTTCTCCGAATTATATATCTTGTGATTGACAACATATAGTGCCGTATTTAACACCGTATGATGTAACGCGATTCAGATAGTGATAAAAAAGATGATACCCTTTATCATTATCTTGCGCGTAATCTCGCGTACAACCGGATATAGTCATTTGCATAGCGACATAGAGACCTTAAATATGCTAAGCGCACATACTCTCCCACACACACGCGCGCGTGTAACGCGTGTATTATACGCGAATAGGCGTGTAGACGATGTGACACGCGCGTTGACATTCGTCATTGTTCCAGCTTAATTACACTTTCTTTCGGCGGGACGAAAAAAAAATTTCGCCACTGTCAAACGCGCTGCTCTCTCTCTCTCTCTCTCTCGCTCACCTCGCACCCCATTCGGTCCGATTCTCGCTTCTACCCCTCGGTGTGTTGCATCCACGCGAGCAAGGGGTGACGCTCGTGTAAACCGCGTGTACGACCGTCCGCCGACACCTGTTTACTCCCTACGGACAGTCGTGTGCACGCACGGCAAAACGGTTGGTTTACGGGGGCGACGAAATCGTCTTGTTTGAGCTGGTTACGTTGATTAAAGTGTTTTATTATGCCAGTTAATGACGATCGTTAACGTAACGCGATAGTCTCGCAGAGATACCGGCAGCTCCTTTGGCAGTAAAACTCAAAGAATTCAATTCAAATCAGTAATTTAGCGTGCAAATATTATTATTATTATTATTATGTTTTATAATCAGCCTACAAAAAATCACGTCGTTCCTACATATAAAACAACTATATTTTTTTATAAATAAACGAATTATACTTTATAATATAAATTACTATAATTACCGTCCCTGCAAATACTTTGTATAAGGAAAATAATTAATATATATAAACGGACTTAAATAATGAATTTGAACGAAAAATAAAAATGCAAAAAATTGTACAAACATACTTGATCCGACGAATGCATCGATTAATAGCGGATAATACCTGAGAGAATAATACGTCGGAAAATGATATGAGAAATTTGAAACGCAGTGCCGCGGTGTGCGCGCGCGTACGTGTGTGTTCTTTTTCGCCTTTCGGGCGAGAGAATAATTAAAGGCACAAAAGGGAGCGTCCAACGAATTACTCGGCCGGTTCGCTCGAGCGGCGGCGCGATTGGACGGTCGTTCTCTCATTCCGAGATTCTCCTTGAACGCGAGGTCCACGTCAGACGCGGAAATGTTCAAAGGGTTTCCGCGGGAGGGGAGGGGAGGAACGGGAGGAAAAAACTAATTAACTTTTCGGAATAATTAAGATAAGGCCGTTGGAGATCTGGCCGATCGGCCGACCCTACGCTAAGCCGCGCGCCGCGCTTCCTCTTTTGCTCTTCACGGTAGAGGAGCCGAGTCGAATCAGGCCGAGGGTCCCTCTGGAAATGGCGATCGGTCGATTAAATCGTTTGCATGAGAAGGGAGGAGTGGTGCGCGAATCTTAAACGTGCGCAAGAACTCCCGTAAAATTACGCGCCGGAGAGGAGCAGTATAGCCGATTTTATTATCAGATTAGCGCGTCCTCCTTCTGCGTCAAAAAGCATTTATTACGCGGAAAGATAAATTTATTTTCAAATTATATATCGAAATTGTATATCGAGAATATAGAGAGAATATACTAATTCTAATGTGTCCGCAAGTCTTCTACAAATTTAACTGATAAATGGTCAAAAAGAAAAGGGAAGAAGTTATATATAAAATTGATTTATGATTAGATTTAAAACTAAAATAAAAACGCAATTAAAATATTACGTTAACGTATGAAGACGAAAGCACAAATTCGATTGTTGAATCAAGAAAGTCTGGCAAGAATTTCAATAAGAGGCGCCGGCAAAGGATTTGCCGACAAACAATTAGGGACATTACTATTGACCGACTCCCGATAAAGTTAAATTAAAGTAAAATCAAAGACGCTCGCTCGACTCCCAAGGCACATTGAGGTTTTTCTTTTATCTTATCGCTGCTACGAGTCAACTCGTCGCGATTATAAATTCTTCTTCGAAACCGATCTGCAAACGTACGATCAAAAAAAAAAAAAAAAAAAAAAAAAAGAACTCCCCTCAACGATAATGCATATATTCGCATGATTAACGAACGACTATCAACAAGGCATTTACACGATCCACCGCCTCGTCCTCCTGCCTAATTATCAACGTCAGTAGAGAGAGAGATGAGCCTCTCTCCCTCCCCATCCTTTCCCTATATCTCTCACGCGCCCACTTCAATTCCTGCCGCGTACAGCCCGCAATAAAGCCTCGCCTCTAAAAGCGAGGCAGATGCACTTTACACGAGAGAGCGGCTCTCGCGTGACACGAATAAAAGTCTTATTGCACGTCAGAGAGGCGGGGTAGGGGAAAAAGGGAAGCGAGCGAGCGAGAGGGAGGCAAGAAAGTAGTCGAGCGCGACGACTGGTCCGACAACGCCGTGGCGCATACAGTACTCCGCTGATAATTAGCGAGCGAGCTCCTCTCGCGACGTAGGACTGATAATTCCCAACAATGGTTCATTACTGCCGTTTAAATGTGCACGACAAGTGCATTCGAGTAGCTGCGCCCACCGGAGAAGGGTGGCATAGCTCTCTATATCTGGCTATTTCCATATACATCCTTCATTGTCCTTCCTCTTTGTGCGCGACTATAGATTCGCGAAACTGACATTTTTATGGTGGAACAATGGGGTCGCGAGGAGAGACGGATCGAGCGGAGGAGAATCGCGGAGAGGGCCAGAAAAGGCCAATTCGAACCGAAGAGCATCGTTATCCGAATAAATAGGCTGGGCCGCACTACTGTTTGTCCCTCCCTCCGAACACAATCCATGATATTTGTATTGTTGTATTTTATTCCCCGAGTGGAAGTGCCGCGACTAGCGAGTGTCTAGGTCTGATCTCCGAGTCGCTGACGATGGGAAACGGAAAACTTGAATCCTTCGAGGGGATGAGATTGATATATCTGGAGTTGTGAGCGTATTGATGCATTCTAAACTCGGAATGCGAGATTATCTTACGATCGCGCGACAATCCAGTGCTAAATCTATCAATTTTTCTGAATAAGCTGATTTTTTAATACCTTTTTTTTAATTAGAAATTAATCCGATTAGAATAGATAATTAATATTGTTCTAAGATAATTATATTATATGTATATAACAAAGTAAAATTGGATTTATGTATTATATTATATATATGATAAATGCTATTTTTCGGTTCATGCAGATATAACATAGAGAATAAGAATACAAGTAGTTCATTAACGAGATATAAATGCAATTTTTACAAACTTACACGATTCTACAGCGTCAACGGGATTCTTCGTTGGGATTCCGGAAGAAATTGGCCGTGTCTCGGGAAGTGATGTCCTTCGGAATAAAATCACCGTCGTCTCGATAGAAATTACGAGGGACACTCGTCCTGACGGAAAGCGGTAGGTATCGACGGTGTAGAGGATAGTCCGTGAAGCGTCGTCATTAACTGCCAATCACTGCCATTCACCGGTCGGAGAAGACGAAGTCGGAGTAGGCAGGGTAAAAGAAAAAAGAAAAGTACTGCAGAGACGTTGAAGGGAGATTCTAATTATTTATTTACGAGAAGAGCGAGGAGCGACCTCGTCGTCGTATTTGGCTCCTCGTCTCTCTCGGCCCCTCTGTCATTCAATTATAGAAAAAACAAATGGTTCAAAAGAAGCGACACGTTTCTAGTTACAATTACGATCAGAGTTTTGATATTATCAAACAACAAGATTTTAAGAGCCTCTATGCAAGTACATTAAAAATGATATCTCTCTACGAGACACGCAATAATAGATTTTCAATTTATTTAATCGCTTGGACTGTCCGTACACTTGGAGAGTACATTTTATTTTATCATCTCGGAAAGAGTGTTTCTTCGCGCAATACGAGAAGAGAGCGTGTATCAGAAAGAAGTTGGCCGTCGCGCATATTAATTGACGGCTCCACTTCGCGCGCGACTTTCCAGCGGTGCACGTAACGCGGTTTTATCTCCGCATTGAGCGGGGAATCCCAAATTCAATTTCGCGGGGTAAAGCGTAACGACATCGCGCCTTATAAGCGAGCGCCCGCCGTCGCTTTGGTATTGGTGAAGTCGCGTGGGAGCCGGGTTTTTACTTCGCTAATGATTTCCGCGCTCGCTTCAGACGCTAACTTCCCCGACAAATAGGAAAATTAAAGCCGCGCTCGCGCGTAACTCCGTCCTGCTGGGCATTTAGTTACGACTTTTTTATAATTAATACCTCGGGTGGTAAATTAAGTCGGGCGCGGCGGAAAGAGCGAGGAAGAAACGTTTTGTAAAATAAATACCGACCGACGTGTACCAGCGGTACATTCGCGGGGATAGACGGGAAAGGGGGAGAGAATGATTCTCACCCCCCTCTAACCCTTACTCGCCCCACTTCGCGACCGCTCCCCTTCTCCACCTTCGACCCCTTCATGACGAGATCCCCTGTCTACTACTCGCGCTTACCCGCGGAACAACGAGTAACGGCGGAGAGGTCAATTATAATGGAAGATTACGTGCCCGCGATTCCGTCTCGCAGTTATAAATAGGTACAAAGAGTATTAAGTCCCTCGGAAGTATTAACCTGGAGAGCCATTGGGAAAACTTCCCGTTGCGCGGAAGCGAGGAAGACAAATAATTGAAGAGAGTTTTCGTTTCTCGGTTTGAAACCCAGGCCATGACGCTCCTCCGGCATTAAAAGCGCGTTTCGCTACTGCACAAATCTGTCCCGCGAATTTATCTGCAACGTCATGTTCTCCCCGTTCCCCATATAAATTAGATTAAAAATAATTAGTATCTGTCATTAAAATCTAACATGATTAAATTCCCGTTTCCCTGTTGTTTCGTAGCCTGTTGTTGCCTGTTTCATGCGCCGAATGTATAGAGTTCCGCAACGCGACCGATCCTCGATTACATCAATCAAACATGCATATCAACATGATCGATTGACTGACTATCTATAGCTGCACGAGTGACGCATGTCCTATCGCAGCGTTTCGTTGATCCTCCGCATATTCGACGATCCATAGAAACGCAAAGACAGTGCGGACGTTCAAAGGTCTCATGCTGCGTTTCCCCGAGCACTGACTGGCACTGCCTGTTTCTATTTACTTGATCTTACCCAGAGGTTCTCATCGTCACGTCTTATTTCAATCAAACGCGTCACTTTACGATTTACCATACTTTTGAGTCTTCGCGATATGGCTCTCGCGCGTTGCGCCCCGTCTAATTTACATTAAATATTCAGGATGTCCTTTACACGTTTGATATCGATTTCATATTAATTCGAATTTGATGGCAAATTTATTCGTGAGAAAGCGAACTCGTGACGATATGAGAGCCGCTGGAGCCTTAATAGCGCTGCGGTGCATAGCCTGTATTAGTAGCAGCGGTAGCAGTCGTGCATAGTTAGGGTTTAATAGCGTGTATTATTGATTATAATATCGCATGATTGGTACAATCACGTCGCATTGTACCTATCAATGCACGGCATGCAACCGACCGACCGTGCATCGCTCGCAATCACCGATGCACGAAAACCCGGCGCATTAAATTATTTATTAGCGGACTGTTTCAGCAGATTGAAATCGACAATTATCAGGCATATACATCATCGGCTAGCTATGAGTTCGTTGCGTAATCGGTACGCGATCGACTACACCGTAATAAAACGAGCACGCCGCGTGATTTATGTCGTTGCACTCCCAATTCCAATGGCGTAAAGACGATCGTAAATCCTTGAAGCAGCAACGACCGATCATCTGTAAAAAAGAAAAGTAGAGAACGAATTATTCCTCTTTACGTTCCAAATATATATTATAATTTTATTTAAAACGGTGCTCGCGTAATATAAATTACATTTATAATTGAATTGTATAATTCGCACACTTTGTAGATAAAAAATTAATATGTGATAAAAATTGAAAATATGATTAAAAATATATACGAATATAGAGCTGCGGATAAAAATACACGTGCGAGTATATAATCGCGATATTAAAGGCGGGAGAAGGTTCGTGAACGAGGTGAGCGAAATGCGGACACAGTGTCACCGAAATCGTCATCTGCACCCTTTCAAAGATCCCGCGAGCTTCCAATAGCTTTTACCCTACCACTAATGGTCGTCTACCGACTGACGAGTAAGAGCAAACGAAGAGAGCGAAATACAGCGTTAAAGGAGACAGAGATGGAAAACGAGGATATATATACATATATACAGAGAGAGGAGACGTACTACACCGATATAAAGAGCCATCTCTTTTCGTTCGCCTTCTCTCGCGTTTTTCCTTTATATCCTCTGTCTCGAAAAGAGAGCGTAATAAAGGAAAAAAACGATGCCGTAAGTCTTTGTCGTACTATGTTGCTTTATCTATGTGGCCATATACGAGCCCCAAAACACGTAAGCAAATAAATAAGGAAAATTTTCTTTAAGAATAGTAAAACTTGAATATCTCGATCATTTATTCGAAAACATTTTAAAAATATATTTTCTCTTCTATATATAATATATGCATTTTTGTATTTATAAAATTATGCGACTGAAGATTCACTCAAGATTCAAAAGTATATAAAAATAATCGCCACAATTGATAAATATTATTTATCATTCACCACTTTCTTTCACCGCTGCCAAGAATATAAGGGGATGCAAGCACAAAGAGCGAGCAAAAGGGGATAAATTTCTGTAGGGTGCCAACATTACGTGACAACTGCCGAAGATATTCGGTCGGCGAAAGAGTATAAGCTTAATCCTCCCGCGACAGCGACAAAAATACGAGACCATATTGTCTCCATATATCATTCAGTGTTCTTCGACAGGCAACCCTCGAATCAAGCTTCCTATGTTTTCGAATAAGAATGGCGCTACAAATAAACGCAGCATTATCCTGAATCTCGCGAATTATTAAAATCCATTTTCGTCATTAAGCTCGATACACCCTCGACGTCGAATCGAAGTGGTAGCGATTCGATTCGACTGAACAAGCAAGGATCGCCGAGGGCCTCGAAGCTGCACGAAAAGGAGGGCAGCTCGCACAGCTCCTCGGCGTCGTCTGCCGCGCCAATTCTCAACAAATTGTAATTTCTAGAAACAAATTGAATATAAACGCGCCGTAATTCGAATGCCTGCTGCAGCGGCACCGGCACAATAATGATGACGGCTGCGTAGGAGCCAGCGACCGTGGCTGAAGGGAGCGAGGCAGCGCCAGGAGACGTAGCCATGCGCGAAACAGCAATCTTTCGAGGCAATCTCTTTAATAAATGAAGCATACGTTCCCGCTTTTGAATTACGTCTACGTAATGGCCTCCCACTCCCATCCCATCTCTCTCGCTCTTCTGTCTCTTTCGCCCTTTCTCGTTCCTGTGTCACGCGTCGGCGCCGAGCCGGCACAAAGAACGACGACGAGAGATTCCGCCATCGCGATCGGCAAAGCCGATTTGTACGATTTGCGTTGCTTAGAAACATCGATGTAAGGCGAATAGTATCGTAAATTATCCATCGTGCAACGAGCAAAAGCAATAATACTATGATTTATGACACTTTGACAAGACGTTCGAGTGATTGCAAATTAAAATGCATTATAGAGAAAAGACTGCAAGACATACAAAGAGTTTGCAAATTAATTCAAGTATAATATATATTCTGTTTCAAAAAATAATTTAATTTGTGGAAAAATGATCCGATATTGATTCAACTTTCTATTTTGATCGCAATAATATACGTCAGATCTTCGTGTTGCGATCATTCCAAAGTTAATAATGGCGAATTATCACGAGCACATAAAGTCTCCATATTTGTGCGTGTGCATGTGTCTGTTAACCAAAATGTTCGCGCCTCCATTCCGACGGATCGTGCCAACGATAAAAGTGCAACGAGGCCCATCCTCGCGAACGTATGCAATCACCTACAAATATTATAGCCGGCAGCGCCGGCGAAATAACTGCACAAGTAAGTAGTGTGTCTGCCTCCATTGTTTCCCTTCAAATCAAAAGCAGTCAAATTCTCCATTGTGATCGCACCACGCGCTCCACTTACACGATGGCAGAGAGACGATGGAGAGACGTGATATAACGACGCCGAGAGATATACACGTCGTGCGGATATACAGGGTGTACATGCCGTTATGTTCAGTACTTTCAAGAGCCAATCTATTACTCGCGTAAGCTAAGAAACTTCTTCTTTCAAAGCGAGATTCAAAAATACTAAATATTCAATATCATTTTTCTCTTATCCGACAAATATTTCATGCGACTGATCTGTGCTAATGACATATTTTTATCATTTCTTGTTTCGCCCTATTAACTTACATTAATTTATATCGCTGCTCAAAATGGAATTTACACAATATTGTAATTTGAGATTGCAACTGGCACACCCTGTATACGTATTTATAGATATCTACATAAATATATACATATACATATACGAAGAACGAGTTTGTGTTGCGTGTGTACACTCGATGCGTCTGCGGATATATTCACAGCGTAATCGCTGAATCGGTATTCCGTCGACTGACAGACCTAGGCAAACAATGGACGTTTGATTGTTCAAGATTTAGTGCTGGTTTACTACCGTCGAATTCGAATTCGCGATATCGCGTCGCTCAGTGGCGTGGGTGTGTCAGCATCTGCATTCACGAGCTTCGCGAAACGTTTCCCGATTTTCAGCCAAGTACAATTCCAAACAAGACTTGATTTCATCAAATCTTGCAGCTGATTACTCTCAATAATGAACGTGCGATAAATCTCGACGATAAATCTAAAGTAAATATCGTAATCGGATATTTCAGACAAATAACAGATTTAGAAATAATGATTTAAAGATCAATAATTTTAATTCCCGAAAAAAAAAAATTAATACATATTATATTGAAAATATTTAAATTATATTATGTGTGTACTTGCGGCGGAACAAATAAATAAAAAAAAAAAAAGGAATGTTTTCACCATTATCCCTCTGGCATTTTATTCTGCTATTCGTGTGCATTGTCAAATGAGTACGAGAAGAAGGGTGACATTCGCGAGCTTCTATTTGCACTTTGCAAGATAAAATATTACTCTTAGCTAACATCTCGTCGAAAGACGATACGGCATTTGCATTATTTTACATTAAATGCCAGGCGAACGAAACTCGACCGCGTACCGTGCCGGTATTGCTTTCGAGTTTACGGTCATGTCAAAGTGGTATTTTCAATAGCCCGTGCACTGGAATTTGCCCGTTAGTCAGAAGAATTTGTATTTCTCCGTGAATCGTAGTTGGTCATCGGAAACGAGTCAGCTCAGATACACGGGTACGAACAGCGTCTTAGGAATCTGTTGGTATTCACGGATAACAAGATTACGCGCGGCCCAGAACCCCTATCAAACTTACATTCCACTTCGTTGCAATTGTATAATTGTGTTAAATATCTAAATATTATATAATGATTCGTTGTATTAACGGTATGCATTTAACATTTATGAATTATATATGTCAATATCAATAAAATAATTAAATTATATCGTCTTGGAACTTTTATCATAAATTCGATATTATTTTATCAGATTGAATAATAAAATTATACCCGCATATCTCTTTTTAATGATTACAAAATCGATATTATTTTGTAAGATTCGAGATTGCCGAGGATATATATCTAATGCGAAGAATGTTTAGAAGAATTTGAATTTCTCTCCCAGACAAGGGTTTGTCATATCGTAAGACTAGAAGTGAGCACATCGAGAGTCTTAGGAATTCGACCGATTCCGCAATCCGAGAAAACGAATAGAATTCGATTGGGAATAAAACAAGCGAAATCCCCTTCGACCCTAACGGAATCGGGAGAATGCGAAGCGTTTGTATTTTCATAAATACCGGAGTTTCTGATGTCACCTCCATCAAATTGAGAAAGAGATTTAGCGATATCTCAAAAACTAGTTCATTTATATACGTAAAAAAAAATTAGGAAGACAAAAATATCTATATAAATTTTATTTAATATGTTATCAATAATTATTATATTCTCATCAACTTCCATCGCACATTCATGCAGCTCAAGATTCAGTAATTACACCATTAATAACATAGTTATGACAGCTTTGACATATTTTTATGTAAGAGACAGAGTAAAATAAACTGACAGAGGCACAGACAGTTAACATCTCGCTTTTGTTAAGACGTTGCGTTGATTACAAATAAACCGAATAGACAACCGCTTTACACGCGCCAGTAAAATCCACACGCGTGTCTGTCTGCGTCGTTTAAGCAGGCTGCGATGAGGGCGGATGGGGGAGCCGGTTTCGTTAAAACAACCCCCTATGTCGCGCGCCCCCGCACTTTGGCCTCCAGCTCTCACGGCAACGTCAGCCCTTTCTCCCGGCGCAACCGCGTCTCTAGCAATTCACTGATCCGCATTTAGGACAGGAGGCGATATTTAGGCCGAAGGGTGAGAGGCCTCGAAGTTAATTAGATCGACTTCGTCAAGGCGCATCCACTTAACCTCAACGCCACGTCAGAGACACGTCGCACCATGACTGCTTCCATCGACTTGCGCACGTTGCAAAAGAGAACCGTCAACATCCCCCGTTAATTCTTTGCTCTTTAAAAATCGAAATAACCGTGCAAATCATACTTTTTTTCGATCAATTTTTATTTTTACTCAAGCAAAAAGTATGCATGTCTTGCCAAATATTTATTTAAAGCTTAAACTTGAATAACTCATCGGAAGCTTCATTATAAATTCGGTGACATCTCTTTTGGTACAATAGATGTTGATTCCAAAAA